AGAAATGTAATTGTGTTGTATACCTACAATGTACCAATAAAAGAATTTATATAAATAAATAAATAAATCATATAGTCTTCATTATTCAATACCTCAAGTCATCATTCTGACTTTTCTTTTCCCTCCCCTCCTCTACATTTTTTCATGTTCAAAAGCCCACAAAGGAGGAATTAAGAGTGTCTACCTTAGCTCTAGTCATCTGCTCAAAATGGGTCCAGAGGTCATCCACTTCTAGCTGCAAGTCACTCTCTCTTTTCCCAGTTTCTGCTTGACTTACTATAGATTTTCTATCTGGGCCTAGAACTTAGTCAGGCTATCTGCATGTCTCTTTTTCAAAGAGGCAGACATTGCCTCAAAGTGTAGCATGGTCTTTCCCATGTCTTGGTGAAGCCTCTGAAATCTTGCTTCTTGGTTCTTAGTTATGTCCAGTTGAGCCAAACTGGCCCCTGCTGCCTCCTCCAGCCTCTCATTCAAGTCTTCTAGGTCGTGGGTGAGGTCATCTCTCTCTCTTTCTACCCTGGCTCGAGTGGTCCTTTTACCTTCTAATTCCTCTTTCAAATTCCGTATATGACTCTGCAGCAATATATAATTTTGGCTTATAATAAGTAGCTATAGTAAGCATATTCTTTATTCAAGAGATTTATTACATTCAATTTTTCTTCTCGTAACAAGAAAGCTAACAAGACATTTTTCGTTCCCAAATTCTGATTAAAGAAAATAGAATTAAGTTAAATAATTTCCTCATATCAATACCAACATCAGAATTAGAACTTGGATTTCTTCTAGATCTCTCAGCCCTTAATGATAAACAACACCATTAAATTATATACATGGAGAGAAAACCTTACTAAAGAGCACTTCCCAAAGGAATAGGAAGCTATTTTTCATATAACCAGAAAAGAAAAACATATAAACACATTTTATAAAAAATAGTGTGGTGAATTTTATTTGAAAAGCCCCACTCATCTGTAATTTGTCTTCCTGACAATCTCAACTACCAGAAACTCCACAAGAAGCTGACTGATATAATGAACATCAAGTTCAAGCAACTTACTCTTAAGGAACTACATCAATTTAATTTTACACACAATTCTAACAAACTGGGTTATGCCGTTTCTTAGTCTGCAAAAGATTTGCAACAACAAATTAGAATTGGTGGCAGAGTAGGGACAACTAATGTGAATAGATATCTGATATCATTAGAGGCACAGTGATTAGAAAAGGGAAAGTAGTGATAAGAACCCTCAGAGCCCCAAATCCTCTTAGTGTAGGGGCAATTAGCACTACAAATCTAGATAATATCATTGTACTGCAGCACACTGAAGCCACTGATGTTCATTAATATCACTTCAAGTAATTAAGCATAGATTACAATGGGGAGGAAAAGGATACACTCTAGTTACAATGTTTTCCTTTCCATTAATGAGGAATATCATGGCTTAGAGTAAGATGATATTTAAATCATATCAACTATTCTATCAGTTCTGAAGATGAAGTATGACAGAGAAGTATATATGATTTCCACCTGTCAATAAACCTGATCCCCTGATAACTATTTATCACGGATTTGATACATCAATGGGATTCAATACATTTTCTATGTGTACTTGGATTCAGTACATTCAATGGGATTCAATGCATTTGTCACTAACTATGCTGTCATTGAACCAAACATTTATGAAACGTTTCTTCAGAAACAATCTTATTAAGGTAAGAAAATTTTATGTCTTTTGGATAAGTTGGAAATAATTACTTTTTCATTTCAGATAAAACCATCTGTCATTTGAAGATAAGCCTGATAAATATGACAGTTACTTGGTACTTAAAAATTATTTCTGAAAATAAAGCATATTCACAAAGCATGAAACTGGCTGCATAATTTGACCCAAAATGTTTCAGAAGTATCAAAAAAAGATTCCAAAAGTATACTGAGTAATGGTTACATTACTGAGACATTAGCTTCCACTGAAAAACACCCATTTGTATGTATAATGCCTCTGTGTATATATAATTACTTTATATACTTTTAGTTATTTCATAACATGGTAATGCAGTACAAAATAGACACATGGTCTAAAATAGCTATCAGTTATCAAATAATGGTTTGAGGCTAAATGTAGCTATAAGATCTACTAATTTTCAGCATAACTGCCCTCTAATCACAAAAGTAACCATAAAAATTAAATTACTAAAAATGAACACATACTATGGGTCATGCACTGTGCTTACCACTTAAATGTATTATAGCATTTAATAGTATTAACTCAAAGGATGCCAAGATTAAGGACTAAAAAAATAAGCACCCAGGATTTTAGCAAAATGTCTACCTTGTTCATACCAAACATTCAACAAATAAGCTACTTATTGGTATTAACCTCATGATAAGAAAATTTCTTAAAAATAATTTATCCCCAAGGTCATACATCTATGGAATGCAGTTTACTTCTCAACCAGTGCTCTTCCCTCTTCTGTCTACAGTTGGCTAAGGGTATGGATACCTTGGCAGATAATTTGTTATCAATGAAACATCAATTATCATCCACAGATTGAAATACAAGTACACATAGAAATTTAATAAATGATTACCTGAACTCTTTAATCATCTTCTGAAGCTGAGCCACCTGGCCTTTCTCATTTTCAACCTTTGAATTCATCTGACTCATTTCTAATTCTTTCCTGTTTTAGAGAGGTAAAAAGTGGAATTGTTTAAGAATAATATTGTGTTTAAATATTTTTAAATTACATAATAACATATAACTACATAAAAACTCAACCATTATATTTCCATCTGATATCATCTTGGCTATTACACCAAATCCTTGTTATCTTCTTCAAGGGAGCTACTATGATGCATTTGTTGTGAACCTTTCCAGACTTTTTCCAACTATTCACATGATTATGCTTAGGTCTGCATATGTAGTGTAGAAATAGTCTCATTTTCTTTGCTGTGAAAGTCATAATATACATTTATATATATAGATCTATAATTTATTCTTAAATCAAACTTATTCTTCTCCAAATAATATATTGGAAAAATTTCTGTGCTGGGCCACATATAAGTTATTACTTCACCTAAAAATTAATTGTGACATGGTATTCCATGATGAAGACCATCGGTAGCTTATTTGTGAATGTCCCTATTAATAGGTACTTAGGTTTCTTCCAGTATTTTGCTTCTCTCTTAATAATTATTTATATTAATCTTTTCCTGTTGAAATTATTTTATGGTTTCTGTCATACATATATGTATATATGTATATATATTTAATATTCTGCCCTTTGCTCCCCAGTAGCAATATGAGATCACTATCTATCTGTATTTCCCTTTAATATGAGCAAATATCTAAATTTTTCTTAGAGAAGAAATTAATATTTTATTGCTTTATTCAGAATGTCCTTGTGAACTAATGATGGCAGCTTTTCAACTGTTAGTATTTCTAAATGGCTAAAAAATTAAATGAACTGCCTGTTTCTCCTTTACCTAATTTTTTTCTACCAGATTGTTCAGCTAGTTATTGAACTACAGATTTTCTGTAAATATTCTTAATATTTGTTTTTTCATATCTATTGCAAATAATTCTCTCATTGTATAACTTCTCCACTTTATATTTGTTATTGCTATGGAAATGTTTAAAAATTTTATGTAGTCAAATTTAATAATTTTTATGTCTTTGGTTTTTTGTGACTTGCTCAAGATAACTTAAACTCTCAATTTCCTGAGATTTATCATATGTATTTCCTTCTAATATTTTTACTTGTAATAAGGACAATTAATGAGATCTACCCTCTTAATAAATTTCAAGTTCAAAATGCACTATTATTATTAGGTACAATGTTGTACAGATTTTTAAAATTTAATAATGCATAACTGAAGCTTTATTCCTACTGAAGAACAACTACTCGTTTCCCCTTCCTCCAGTGCCCAGCAGTAACTATTCTGTTTCATTTTATACCTCATATCAGTAAAATTATATAGTATTTATTTTTTAGTGACTGGCTTATTTCACTTAACATAATGTCCTCAGGGTTCATATTAGTGCATGTGGCAGTATTTTCTTCTATAAAGGATGAATAATATTTAATTCCATGTATGTTCCATACTTTGTTTCTCATCCATACATCAATGGGTAGTTAGGTAGTTTCCATATCTTGGCTGTTGTAAATAATGTTGCCTCTTCTACCAGGGGTATAACTTTGTTTTCACACTGAATTTTTTAATGCAGCTGAATTTTGTGTTTACAAATAGAATGAGGTGAACACTTAGCTTTTACTTCAAAGAAATTAGTAGCTAGTAGTCCCAAAACCATTTACTATCTTGTCATCACTAATCTGAAATGCCCTCTTTAACCTGTATTAAATTTCAAGTACCCCTAGTTCCACTTAGAGAAAAGGTTTTTTTTTTTTTTCCTTTTTTTCTGTGAAATGTATTGTTTCCACATTAAAAGATTTTGGAGGGAGGAGGGGAAGTATTTTTTTTTAACCACATGATGATCCTATACAGCTGCCCAGAGTAGGACACCATCATAAGTCATTAACATGCCATATGAGTTCTGAATAAATAAAAGCTACAAAGCCCAAGTTATATACAAATATCTTAGGCAATAATGTTTATAAACCTATCTACAATAAAACAAGTGTAAACAGTAAATGCAGCATGAGAGTAATCAAAGGGTGCACAGGGACAACCACTTTTGGTCAGTCTGCCCCTAGGAACTGGCATCACCAGCCCCCAGAATTAGGCCACCCAATTCTTCCCTACACAACTGAATGGACCCTCAGATGTGAAAACAAAAATCTGAAAATATCACTCAACTGAAGGACCAGAAAGCTGGCGAGGAGGTTGCCACCTACCTCCCCTGAGTCTGAGGTACGTGGAAGAGGAGGCAACACAGAGGCTTAGCCTTAGGAGTGCCCAGGCCCTGGAGGCTCCTGCCATCCATGGCTCAGACAGGCATTTCACTGCTTTGGGAGGCAAGTATATGGAACGGTGACTGCTTATGTAAAATGAGAAGGTGCAGACGATGTTCCCGAATTCAGTGACCTTCCTGACTCTTTGCCAGAAACAGGCCCAAACTATAAGGGTGGAACTGGGGACACATGATTATGAGCACTGAAGATGCTTAGGTGGGAGCTCAGGAGGAGGGCACACATTAACCTGGTTTGGGGAAGAACTTCTAGAGATCTGCAATGTCCTAAACACAACTAAATCCTATCAGCACAGCAGAGTGGGGGCTATGAGGCAGGTGTGATGAATGGGTACTTCTGCATCCAGTGACCCAGTAATACACGTATGTATCACCTTGTGACCCACAAAAGTGCAATCATGTGAAACCAATGGCACTATGACAAGAAGAGAAAATAGCCAGTATTTAGATCACGCAGAGTCCTGGGGCTGGGCAAGGCCCAGCAGCCGCCACTGCATGCAGCCTGCCCTCTGCCAGCCATGGGGAGGCAGGAAGAGGGGCACAGGGCTGGGCCCAGGCACTGAAGGGTGAGGTGTGGGTGTCCTGGGTTGTTGGAGGAGGGCAGGAGCCTCCACCTGGAGGCCAGGCACTCACACACTGAGAGGCAGCATACCCAGTGCTGATGACGGACGTGAGGAGCCCAGACCAGGAGGAGGAGGAGCTGAGTCAAAGCCCTTTACTGCCCCTTTGTTGAAGAAAGATGTGTGCCTTGATTGAGTGAACTTTGTGCCATTGCTATTCATCACTCCACAGTTAATATTCCCTGAAATATAAGATTTTCGCGCTGCTTGGTCCTTTGCAAAATTCCTGCAAGCTGCTAACTTGGATTCTAAAGCCCCTACTTTCTGTAAGAGATCCCCCACGATGTTTAGTGCTGATATCCTAGCTGAAGGAGTTAGTGGACTGGTTCCAAAATCATTTGGTATAGCTTTTGGGGAAGGAAAACTGTTTTCTGTTCCTTTCCCAATAGGCATAGCAGGAGAGAGAAGCCTGGACAGCAGAATCCATCTTCTCACAGTCCAGAGTTGGAGAACTGGGAGCCAACTTTGGGGTCACTTCCTGTTGTCTTTCCCGAACTGCTAGTTCTTGCCTTAAATCTCTTGCTTCATCCTTTAACCACTGTACAAAAATCAACAAAGATTCCTTTTCATCAAATTCACTTTCTAAAAGTGCATTTCTTTCAATGGCCTGATTTAGCCTTTGTTCAAAGTCTTCCAGTGAAACTATTGTTGCTCTTTTTGCTCGCTCTGGGTCATCATTGGCCTGCTCCAGCTCTCTTACATACTTAGGCAACTGCTCCTTAATGGCCCTGGTCTGACTTAAATCATCTTCTAATACAGAAGCCTGCTTGTAGCTCTGTGCATACTGATGTTCTAGTTTCTCCTTTGACGCCTCCACTTCGTATTTCAATCTTTGGTTATCAGCTTGCAGGTCTCTATTTCTTTGCTCTGCCTGTTCTAATTGTGCCTCCAACTCTGCTTCTAATTCTCTGCTTCCTTCCTGGAATTCAACTAGCTCATCCTGAGCTTCCTGGAAGCTTTGCTTATACTTCAAGGAAAGTTCCTTTCAATAAGCAGTTTCTTCCTTTAAACTTGAAAAATCTGGTATATCTTCACCATCCATGATCAAGAAAGCCTTTAATGTGTCAAAAGCTCATGTTCGCCACTGTCCGACCGATGTCTCTGCTCTGCTGGCCTGGCCAGGCCCTCCCAGGAGATCAGCTGCTCTTCCCTCTACAGCCCCAAGCTCCACTCTAGAGAAAAGGTGTTAATGATGAAATTATAGCTTCCTTAAAGTATAGATTTTTAAAACCTTTTGAACTGTGGTCTACAAGGAGTATTATTTTACTCTGCTGAGCTGAAACATAATATTCAAAATTGAGTGCTAGGGAAGCTCTATGATCTTTTTGCCTTACATCATGCCATCATATTCATTAGGTTATTTATTTCATCTTTTGCAAACACTTTTCAAAGTTAGTAACTAGTACAACATTAGTCAAGCCTCTCCAAGGGGATAGATAATGGCAACACATTTACTCAAACAAACAAACCAACAAACAAAGCTAGAAGCTCAAAGCTGCTTGCTTGACATTCTTCTCTTGCTTTTTACTACGGATCCCAATTACTGATATGCTTCCATCTTTAACCTGGCTTTATCTTATATTTGTTTGTTTTTTAATTAATTTTATTGGTATAACTTAGATACACATTATGATCACATTCATCATAGGGAATTTGTACCTGTACATGGTATATCTTTTTTCTTTTTTGGTACAATGGATCGAACTTGGGTCCTTGAGCTTGTGCAGCAGGCGGCAAAACCACTGAGCTAAATCCCCAGCCCTTACATGATATATCTTGATTTCTCTTTTATTCTCATTCTCCTCCTCTTTCTTCTACCCCTCTTTTCCTCCTTATTTACAAAAGCTTTGTTTCCTTTTTTTCCTTCTTTTCTCATTTTTATCTTTTCCTTTCCTTCCTTTCCCCCTCCTCCCTCCCTAGTTTCCCTTTCCTTTTGAACAGTTTCTTCCCATTTCACATTGTCTATTATATATTTTGGTCCTTATTTACACTTTCAGTCCCTCACATCAGACAGACAATGTGATATTTACACATATGAATCTAGTTTATTTCTCTAAAGAGTATAGTCTCAATTTGCATCCATTTAGCTATAAATGTCTCAAGTATATCTTTCTTTATGGCTGAGTAGTACTCCATTGTATAAAAAAATCAAGTCTTTTTTCATTCGGATCTTACTATTTTCCTTTCTTATAGATCTGATCTAAACAAGTTGCACTCCTTAAGGGTTAGTACCCCCCTCTTTAAAAAAAAAACAGACACAACCAAACAAAAAATTCGGATAAACAGAAGACAAAAGGGACAAGGTAAGAAAGCCTATTCCACCAACTGGAAGAACTGAAAGAAACATCTTTCCCCAAATCACTTGGGATATAAAGAACCCATGTGAATATACAATTTGAAAGTCTCCCACATTTTTATTATTTTCAAGTTTTGCTTAAATCTTAAGACTTAATTTTTATGTAGTAAATCACTTGACCAAAAAAAAAAAAAAACTCCATATAAAGATTAAGAAAGGTATATCAGGCAATATTTAAGTGATCAGGGGGTATTTCTGACTTTTGTCAAGGTCAATTTTTTTTACATTGCCATTGGTGTCATCATGATTAAAAGTGGGTCATTTTTATTTTTTGACTAATAGCCTCAAATTTCCAATAATTCATTTCTCATATGTTTTATAACTTTATTTGCTAGTCATATATCTTCTTAGTCATTCCTTCTAGATTATGTATTTTCGCTCATTTAATACACATGTGGTAAAACATAGATAGATAGATAGATAGATAGATAGATAGATAGATAGACAGATTGACACTATATAATAAAGTCCAGCAAAGAAAAATATCATTTCCTAGGCCTTTTGTCTTTGCCTTAGGTCTCCAAATGTCTGGCCTGGGTTCTGAGTTAAGTGGATTAAGAGAGCTGTCCCTTCTCCCTCAAGAAGTTCTCACAGCAGCAAGGCACTTACTTCCTCAGCTGTTCTACTAGCTACCACTGGTTGTGCTCCAGGTTCTCCATATTTTCCTGGGTCACATTTAAATCATCTTCTAGTTTGTGCTTTTCTCTTTCATAGATCATTCTCTCTTTTCTCTCCAGTTCAAGGGTGCCCTCCAACTGACAAAGAGAACGATTATTTAACCAAATAAATAGGTGGAGTTTATAATATACTAATATGAGAAAAGTATAAGCATAGATTCTGTAAATGCTGCCTACTTACATAGGTTCTTGAAAATAAAAATTGCATGCATCAATAAGTTAGCAAAAGAACCTAGGAATGATGGAGATAGAAGCCAATTCTAGAGATTATAGACTTTTGAACAAATAATAAGTGACTAGTTGCCTCCTGTTGGATCACTTTCCAGGGATAGGAATCTTACTTCTTCTTCGCATGACAGTTCATTTTATGCATGGATGAGTCCACTAACTCAGAAGTGTCTCTTCATGAGAAGTAAAAATATTCTCTGTAAATTCTATCCACAAGTCCCAGCTCTGCTACCTGAAGCAACACCAAATGAATCTGTCATGATGTGAGAATCCATGAATATCAGCAACCTTCCCAAATATTGCTGGCCCTTTCAAACAGGTCTCACATGCCCCATTCACCCCATTGGTGCCCTCTTCTAGTTCATAACGTCATGTCATACTCCCCCCCCCCAGACTTGGAATTTGTCTTCTTTTAATTGTGGCAAAATCCCTAACATATAATTAGTCATTTTAACCATTTTTCAGTGCACAGTTCAGGGACATTAAGTATATTCACATTGTATGCAACCCCTCTCCAACCACTCTTCTACAGAACTCTTTCCATCATACAAAACAGAAACTCTGTACTCATGAAGCAATAGCCAACTCACCATCTCCCTTACCTCCATATCACAGCATCACAGCATTTATCAGAATACTCTTCCTTTTAAAAGTTGAATTAAAAATTCATTATATGTACATGTACCACAGTTCGCTTGTCCATTCATCCATTGGCAGACACCTGGGTTACTTCCACTTATTGGTGATGGTGAACAATGTTATGAACAGGGTATACAAATATTTCTTCAAGTCCCTGTTTCAGTTCTTTTGAGTATATACTCAGAGGCAGAATTGCTGGATTATATGGCATTCCAATTGTTAATATTGAGGGAAATTGCCACACTGGTTTTCATGGAAGCTGAATTATTTCATACCCCGGCTAATAGTACAAACAGGCTCTAATTTCTCCATTTTCTAACAATTTCTACTTTTTTTTTTGATAATGCCTATCCTAGTGAGTGTAAGCTGGTAGAAAATTTGTCTTTTAATTTAACTCATTTAGATTTTCTATAAGGGCTATATTATGATCCACTGATGCATTCCTCTACCTTAAATTTTAAAAATTTTCTGTATTTTTATTTTTTTCTTCCTTTCCAGCTTGCCATTGGTCAGATGTTTCTTTATTTCTGGGTAATAAATGTTGATATTTCTAACTCTAGTCTTCATATCTCTAAGCATCTGGGAGGAGACTTTTTCCATCTTATCTTTTGCTGCTGTTATGGTTTTTTAAATTGAGACATAATATTAGTATATCTTTGTGAATTACATTACAGTAATCTAATACGTGTATACAATGTTTAGTAAATCAAATCAGGATAGTAATTATGTCCATTTCTTCAAACATTAATCATTTATATGTATTGAGAAATTCATATTCTCATCATAATTTTGAAATATATCATGGATTGTTTTAACCTACTTACCCTAGTATGCTCAAGAAGAACCTGAAGTAATTCCTGAACTCTGTGTCTTGGTACCATGCACTGAACCTCTTTCCACCTCCCCTTACCCCTGCCCTTCACTGTATCTAATGACTACTATTTCATTCCATTGTTCTACAAAATTGACTTACTAGTTTCTACACACAGTAAGAACATTTGGTATTTGTCTTTCTGTGTCTGGCTTATTTCACTTCACCCAATGACCTCTAGTTCTATCTCTGTTGCTGCACATGACAAGATTTCATTCTCTTATTGCTAAATAGTATTGTATTGTATAAATATGCCAAATTTCTTTATCTATTCATCCAGTGAAGGGCATTCATATTGATTCCCTATTTGGGCTGCTGTGAATAGCACTGTGACAAACATGGAAGAACAAGTATCTTTTTTAAAAAAATACTATTTTATTGGTACATTTTAGGTATACAATATAATGACATTCATCATTGGAAATTTGTACCTTTACATAATCTCTCTTGGTTCTTATTTTTCCCTCTTCCCCTGCCTTCCCTTCAACCCCTCCATCCCTCCCTTTTTACAAAGACTTTGTTTCCATTTTTCATTTTCCCATATTAATTCCATTCCCTTCTTTCCTTTCCCCTACCATTTCCAGTTCCACTTCCCCTTTGCCCCTTTTCTTCCTATTTCACATTATCTATTATCCAATTTAGTCCTTATTTACACTTTCAGTTTCTCACACTAGAGAAACTATTCAGTATTTACACATGTCCTATTTATTTCACTTAAGAGTATGGCCTCAATGTGCATCCATTTAGCTATAAATGTCTCTAATTTCTCATTTTTTATGGCTGAGTAGTACTCCATTTTATTTAAAAACCACATCTTCTTTATCCAGTCTCCAGTTGATGGGCAATTGGGCTGCTTCCATGTTTTAGCTATTACAAATTGTACCACTATGAACATGGGTGCACATATATCATTGTGGTATGATTCTTTTAATTCTTTTTTTTTTTTTTTGGTATCGGGGATAAAACTTGGGACCTTGCGCTTGCAAGGCAGGCGCCAGAACCACTGAGCTAAATCCCCGGCCCCGATTCTTTTAATTCTTTGGGGAAGATACCCAGCAGGGGAATAGCGGGATCAAATGGGACTTCCAGTCCTAGTTCTTTGAGGTATCTCCATACTGATTTCCACAGTGGTTGCCCCAGTCAACACTCCCACCAGCATTGGAGCAGGGTTCCTCTTTCCCAACAGTCCCACCAGCATTTGTTATTGGTTGATTTCATGATAGCAGTCATTCTTTTTGGAGTAAGGTGAAATCTCAGCATTGTTTTCATTTGCATCTCATGAATGACCAGTGATGTTGAACATTTTTTCATGCTTATTTGCTATTTCTACTTATTTGTCTGAGAAATGTCTATTCATTTCAGATGCCCATTTTTTATAATATTATCTCTTTTGTATATGTACCCAGAACTGAAATTTCTGGATCATGTAGTAGTACTATTTTTAGTTCTTTGAGAAATCTTCACCCTGTTTTCTACAATGGCTGTACAAATTTACATTTCCACCAATAATGTACATGTTCCTTTTTCTCAGCATCCTCTCTAGCACTTGTTATTCTTTGTCTTTTTGATGATAGCTGCTCTAAGAGGGTGAGATATCTCATCATCATTTTTATTTCACTTATAGTGAAACTGGCATTTTTCATGTACTTGTTGGCCATTTGTATGTCTTCATTTAAAAAATTCCTATTTAGTTCTTTAGTTCATTTAAACAAATTTTTAGTTCATTTTTTAATTGGTTTCTTGTTCCTGTTTTTTAATTGGTTTTCAGCTTCTTGAGTTCCTTTTATATCCTGGATATCAATCCTTTGGTTGGATAGTTTGCTACTATTTCCTCCTATACTGTATATTTCTGTTGATTATTTCTTTTGCTACATAAAAGCTTCCTTGTTTGATATAATCCCATTTGGCTATTTTTATTTTTTAAAATTTTTATTAGCACATGTTTGCAGTACATACATGTTTATATTTCTTATGTGGCTATATCTAAAAAAATCGTTGGCTCATGCCATTTTCCTTTCTGCTGGTGGAAGCCCATTCACTCTGAGCCTAATTACACTTCATTAAACTTTGCTGTTTTTTGTCTATCATTGTGTGCCACATCCAATTCTTTGTTGCACACAAGAACCTATAACCCCATTCAAGATCCCAGCAACAGGAAGTAAAAAGTGGCATGCAGACTGCAGGGACCTCAACTCTGCCTTTAGACTACAGATGATGATCCGAGCCAGGAACCAAAGCCTGCCTTTATATCTATGACTCATCAAGACAAACTTGGAGGAGGAGGCTCTTTTACCCCCCTAAATCAGGCAGGGCAAGAATTCCATGGTCTTCTCATAGCTGGGCTAACACCCCTACTCAGCAAGAAGTAGCTGTAGAAGACAGACGTTCCACCCTCAGCACTCCTAGTAGATTTTCAGTGACCAGGTCTGTTGGAGGAATAACATAGACAGTACAAGCAGGACTACAGGACCACTCCCCTCCATTTGCTTGAACCAGTGTCCCAAGGCCAAGCCCCCAACCTTTGTCCTAAGGCCTACTACCCTGAGGCAGCAATAAGAAAAATAAAGACCCCTGGAAAATTCTGAAGTCCCAAACTAGGACCCATGAGCACCAGATTCTCCAGCACAATCTACAGTAACTTGGGCCAGGGATTTAGCTCAGTGGTTCCAGCTCTTGCCTTGCAAGCACAAGGTGCTGAGTTCTATCCCCAGTACCAAAACCAAAAACAAAACTAAACAATCTACAGTAGCTTTTCTTTACTTGGAGCTCTTTAAAGGTTCATTCATATGGATTGCATCTCAAACATTCAATGAAAACAGAGTAAATTATAGGAAAGGACATGCCCAGTAGACACAGCTGACATGACTCAGCTCCTTATCAATCCTGTTGTCTTCCATGCTCATGAAGCCCCACTGAGAAGTGCCTTAGACCCACAACATTAATTCTTAAACCCAATGCCTCATTCCATTTTTCTTTCTCTTAGAACACTCTTAGAACACTTAGTGTTCTATCACCTAATTGCATTTCATTAAAATTTTCTCCTTTTTCCTTCAGAAAGGAAAAAAAAAATCATTGCCTCCACCAATAGCTTGAAGCGTTTGTGGCATATGTCACATCCTGATACCCCACCAAGCTGGTCAGAACATGCCAGTTTTGTCTGGACTAGTGCTACCAACAGTGATACAGATACTAATTTAGTAAGAAGCTGTATACTAGTTAGAATATGGCTGCTTGTTTATTGACATGTTTACTTTTCACCAATGGAGGAAATTTCCTATAACTAGCAAAAATCTGTCAAGTAAATTAACTGAGTAAAAATTCGACGTATGTATATATGTAGACAGACAGAGAACTAGCTACATCTATTGCTACTTACCTCATCTACTTGCAGTCCCAGCTTCTGATTTGCTATGCTCAGGTTGCTCAGTCTCTCCTCCTCTGTGCTCAGGTAGTCCTGAGTCTGCTGATAGGCTACCTGCACATCCTTGGTTGCTCTGTTAAGTTTGCTAATATCCTCCTTTAGAGAGTCCACCTCCACAGTCAGGTTCTTGGCCTATGGACAAAATATAAGAACAGCTTCCTTAGGGCCATCTTTGGAAGGCTGGGGAGAATGCTAAGGCTAATCTTGTCTCTTTCACGGTCCAAAAACTCATAAGTGTTATCAAGAACTACATTTACCCAAATCCCTGATATACTTTTTAAAACTCTAAATTCACTTTTTCTTCAATAAAAAGTGATGCATTACCTGGAATGATCAGGAAATGGAGTATTCTGGTAAATCAAATATCAATGTTGATTATATGGACAATTTTTAGAGCACCAAATTATTGCACAATAATATTACAACTTAAGGTCATTTAGCTTTCTTTTGAGGATTCAGAGGGTATGTCCTGATCATCTTGTACCTTGCGAAAGTGGGTTCCAGCACACAGTCCTTGCAAAAGTGGAAGCAAGCTATATCTGGCCTATGTGCTTTTTATGAACGTGAATCAGTAGATACAAGAATTGTTATTTAATTGTCTGCCAAATTACAGTTTCATCTTGGAGATGAGTTATTTATCAAAGATTTGATTCAGATACTTCACCAATATCAATCGACACATAGATGATCAGCTTACAACCCACAACTGACAAAATGTCGAAATCTGTAACAGAATTAAAGTGATAGTTTCAAGACTAAACTCCAAATCATTGACAGAGCAGGGGATACAGATGCATCCCAAATCATTTTTTAGGAAACCACATCATGTTCACTGTTGATCCAAAGAGAATACTTAGAGGCCTAATTAAATCATTTTTTTTCTCTTCCTATGAGATTTTGTAAGATAAAAGATTTGAACAGATGAAACATTTCATTTGGAGGATTTATGGGCTCTATAAATTCAATTTGGAAATTTGGGTTAGGATAACTAACACAGTTCATCAGACCTTTATTTTATTACAATCTCATTCCCACTCTGTAAAATTGCAAGCTACTGTGTTAATTAACCTAAACATAGCACTTCTGGTACAAAATAGTAATATGAGAGTGAAATTCAGGCATCTAGGCCTGCCTAATATCACAGAAAGTATACCTTGTGCTCCATAGCAGCTTCTCCTCCTCTGATTTTGCTAAAATTGTTTCCAGGTCATTGATTTCTTTCTTCAATTCAAAACATTCATCTTCCAGTTTCTGCCCCCTGGCAGTCAGCTCAGAATTTATCTCCTCTTCTTCCTCCATACACTTAGACAGCTCCTTGACTCTGGCCTCCAGGTGGATCTTGGATTTAATCAGTGACTCACACTGCCCTTCAATATTTTCCAGAGTCTCTTGCTCCTGCAATGACGAGGAGAAAATTATTGCCAACAGCTGGAAGTAATTTATCAGCTAGGTGAAAATGCTGCTTCCCACATTGCAAAGAGGTAATTGCCTGCCCTCTGCCCAGCACTTTTCACCTACTTTTCCTAGGCCGTTGAAATAATATCCCTAGGTCCTAGATCTTGTTGTTGAGAAATGGAGAAGTTGCTTGTGTTTGGAAGTGATTTTAATCTTTCAGTCTCATTCAGTAGATTAAATGACCTCCTCTAAAACACTTGATAGAGTCCTGGTGGCCTAAAGGAGCTAACATGCCTCTGAAAGTAGTGTGTTGCTTAGATCACAGCATCTGGGAGAATTGATGTAGGCACATAGCTTGAGGTTGATACCCCCTTAAAATATGGTCTTTTAAGACATTAGTGTTCTTGTAGACAATGTAATATTTAGAACAGTTTTATAAGTGCCCTAGTGCACTTGCTTAAATAAATAAATATACATATAATAAATTGAACTGAGCAACATATTTTTAGACATAGGATGAACTTATAATTCATGAGTTTATTTGCAAGTCACTAATTAGACTTCACTATTATTTTCAGCCAAAGCTTTTCCTCAGTGATTCTCCCAGGAGTAATTTTCACAAGTTACAATACATAGAAAATAAAATATTCTTTCCTTTTATCCTTTCACATATACTGCCTCCAAATCTTCTTCAGTGACTCATTTCCATGTTATAGATCAAATAAACAATGGTTTTTGAATTGTAGAGATCATTTCATAATTTTGAACTTTTAATTTGTCTTTTCAAAAGGATAAATAAAACTTCTTCTTTGCAAGGAACTTTTTAAATACTCTAGGTCTGATTGAAATACAATTTTTTAAAAATTGGTACACTTTATGTATACAATATAATGACATTCATCATTGGAAATTTGTACCTTTACATAGTCTATCTTGATTCTTATTTTTTTCCCCATTCCCTTCCTTCCCTTCAACCCCTCATCCCCTCCATATTTACAAAGACTTTGTTTGAATGTTTTCATATTCTCATATTAATTCCATTCCTTTCTTTCCTTTCTCCTACCCCTCCCACTTCCCCTTTGCCCCTTTTCTTTCTATTTCACATTATCTATTATACCTTTTAGTCCTTATTTACACTTTCATTTTCTCACACTAGAGAAACTATTTGGTATTTACACATGTGTGTCCTATTTATTTCACTTAAGAGTATCGCCT